GGCGCGTCCATCGGCGGTGCAGTTTTCAGCGGCTCCGGTGGAAATTGGCGGGCAGTGTCGCTCTACTCGGGATTCATGATGCTCTTTGGTTCATTTTTCGTTCTGCATGGTGGGTTTTTATCTGTCTGCCGTCGCGCGGTTTCAAAACGCAGGCTGAATCCACTTCAGCGCGTTTCTCGCACGAGAAGCGCATTTGGGCAAAGGTTTAGACGTGGTAGATTACACAGAGCGTCCGATTCGTAGAGTCGACGACGTAAACAACTAGAATTATGGCTGTAGAGATGCGGCAGAATTATACGCGGCCCGGCCTTCGTTACTCATTTTTCACCGTCATCTGGAGAACAATAGCTTGCCGCTGCGAAGAACAACGACGACGCTTTGGTCTGCATCACTCGGCTAGCGCAGAACGCATGGCCACGCCGGCGCTTTGACCTTTTCTGTCGTGCGCTTGGACCTCTCCGTCTTATAAAAAAACAATGGGCCAGCATACAAGGACATCCGCCCGCTGCCACCCATCCCATGGAATTCATCGTCATTCCCGTCCCCGTCCCGAGCAAAACCCAGCGCACCATCAAGCTCGTCGGCCGTGGGCTGAAATCGCTCCTCACCACCAAGGTCTCGGGCAAACTTGTCATTCGGAAGAAGAAGAGCATAGAGGAGATACCATCCGTTACGACTACACCTGCGGCACCACCGCTGGAGGAAGATGACGGCGGCCGCCCGCCTATTTTGGCTACCGTTTGGCCGGAGGATATCCACCACAACCTCGTTTCTCGTGGAATCAAGGTCAGGGACTTTGCCTACCCAGTCGGCCGAGTTGGGCATCGCGAGCCTACACACCCGCACCCGCTTGTTACGGGTATGTCGTCTTTTCGTCGACCGAGTTTACATTTTGACCTCCGCCACTCTAGTACCAGTAGCCCGTAAAGAGAACAAGGAAACCACGGCAGCAGAAGCAGACGAGTCTACGAAAGAAGCCGAAGGGTCGACGAAAGAGGCAGAAGGGTCTACGAACGCGAAAGACACAGACGAATCTGAGGAACACCATGGTCCACGTACGTCTTATCTACTCCCCCATATTTCCTAAGCTAACAAAGGTGAAAGCTGCGCGCGTCGAGTCCACACCCATGCCACGGATCTCGACGAGCTGGGAGCTGCCTCACCCGCTACTCCGTCCCATTGCCACCTACCCACGTCCCCCATATCCACCCGACCATATCCCTACTCCCAAGGACCATCCTATCTACGAAACTCATCGCATTCCCGGGCACTTCAGCCCTATCCTCGGGGTTATCGAAGTCGAAGCTCGACTCGGACAAGACCCACGTACCGTCCCCATTCTCGGAATTACGACCCGCCGCCTGCTCACTGTCTCTCCCGATCTCGTCGACCTCTCGCGATACCATGAGATGGATCTGGAGGAGCTCCGGCGCTACGACAGGCGGATGCTCTTCCAAATCATGAACGGCGTCGAGCCCCCGCCATGGAGGTGTTTTCCCCTCGACTGGGCGCCGTCCGCCGAGAACCGGGAGTTGATGGGCAAATTCGAAGGGCTCGTGCAATCTTTCCGCAATTTCGACAAGCATGTGCAGCGTGCGATTATTGTGAATGCCCACCACAAGATGCTCGAAGACGACGTGTGGATGCAAGAGCAGATGGATCTGAAGGCGAAGGAGAACCTCGCCGACGGCCTCATGGATCCCGAGAACCCTCTTCTGAAGGAGCTGCATGAATACGACCGTCCGACCGATGGGAGCTCTGGCCTTACCCCTCGTCAATGGTTGGAGCTATGGGAGCGTCGTCTAGACACCGCCCTCACCTACTCTTCCTATTCCACCATCTTCCAACAAATCAAGCGGCTGTGGCGGCACGACGGGCGTAATCCACAGAACGACGACGACATCTCGCGCCATATCCTCAGGCAGTTCTGCTACCTCGGCGTCGCCCCGCCTTTCGTCCTCGGCCAGACGGAAACGCAGCTGCCGCTCACGACGTATTGGGGTCATGACGCCGTTTGGGACGACTACAGAGTCGATGCAGCACACAGGGTGTCAGATTTCACGTTGACTGAGCATATCGAGCATCTCACCGGCAAGACTGTGGCGGAGGCAGAGGCGGCCGACTCAAATCTTCCTCCCTGGCCCGTTCCGGTGACGGAGACCGACGCGCGCTACCACGAGGGTCCGATGAGCGGCACTAGCGTGTACGACTTTTACCATCTTTCGGTGGATATGTTCAAGGACTTCTTGGCGGGGTTGGAAGGACGGGAACTTGAGCCTCTGGATTTAGCGATACTGGAAGGCCGCGATCTTGATGCCGAGTCGGAGACTGGCTCGATTGAGGGCGGGGATGCATTAGAGTCTGGCTCGGCCGCCGTTGTCGTCAAGTCGCCCTCGCAGTCGAAACGCAAACGTTCCGAGGAGGAGGACCAGGACAAGGCCGCAGAGCAAGATGCCGGGAACTCGACGCGCGCGTCTCCCAAACGCGCAAAGCTTGTCCAAGCGGCGGAGGTCGTTGTGTTAGAAGCGTCATCGTCGTCGCCATCGCAGAAGCGGAAGCTGGAGGAAGAGCCTGAAGAACCCGAGGAGGAACCTGATCCGGTGGAACGGGAGACTACGGCGCCAAAGAAGAAGAAGAAACGAGCACGGAGAGCGTGAACCTCGAGGACTTGTATTTTATCTTATATATCGGAGACTGTAGAATCTTGGACAAACTACATACACTAGTGTATCAGTACTCAATGGCCTGCCTGTAAATGACTTTCAGCTTGGATGTCCAGGAAACGGAATCTCGCATTCCGCGCAACTTCCCCACAAATAATTGTGTCGCTCGTTGGACTGTTTCAATCTGTTTCAATCTTGAAGAGTCCTCGAGAAATATGCTCAATATTTGCTCATGGGCCATTCTGATGCTGCATAGGCTGGACGTGGTGCTATGTTATGTTATGTTTCAAGGCATAGCCCACGCGGGACCGGCCACTGTACAGCGATCAACGCGAACGTGTGACAACGTTAGCCGCCGTCCTTTTGCCACGACCGTCCATCTCACCGCCAGCAACGCGGACTCTTCGTCGAACCGCAGCAAGCGCAACTTCAGCGGCTTCAAGTGTAGCATCTGGCTTGATTCAAGTTCACGCCGCTGTAGCAGAGCCCCTGCGAACTTGAATCCGTGGCCCGGAGTGTCGAAATGGCCACGGAACAAATCCACATACGGGGAAATATGGGAATACTTGACTGCTCCGTTGATTGTCGCGCCTTCTCTTCTCTAACTTGAAAGTGGCAGTTTGGACATTCGAATCGCGACCAGCACTCGGCTCCATAGCGTCTACACCACACGTTTGCATAATGTTCAGCTTCTTTGTCAACCAGCTCTAAGTATCTGTCATCCTCGACGTTGGATGGCCCTGGCGCACGACGTTCAGCTGGGAAAATCCGACTTTGTCTCGGTTCGGATGCAGTCTGGCTCGGTATAAGAGGCGGCGACTTCTTTAGCCCTCAACAGCCCCGCTACAAAATGCTTTCCGTGCGCTCTCTTGTTTGTTTAATTCTTCGCTTCGATGCTTTCAGTCCATCTCACACACATGCACTCAGGCTCTCTTGCTTCCCCTCCTCGGCGTTCTGTCCCCCGTCAAAGCGGCCCCGTCCAACGATACATTCGGTCCAATCGCAGACAGTATCTCCCCAATCAGCTTCGTCGGCAACATCGCGCCGATCCAGCAGACCAACTTCCAGGGAGACACCCGCATCTATATGCAGCAGCCAGATAACAGCATCGTCGAACTGAACATAGACGGGCCCATCTCTACCGCACGCCTTGTCGGTACAATGACCCTGGTCCCTGCAGCGGAGGTTCAGTTCCAATCTCTCATCGTAGCGGTCACGCTTGACCCAGGCGCTTTCGGTGTAGAGGTGTGTGTGTTTCTGTTGTCTTCTAGTCGCACACGAGCAACTAACATTGCAGGCCCACGTCTTCTTCATTTCGCCCCAAAACATCGTCGCAGAGTATATGAAGATGGGAAACGGAAACTGGCAGGGCGGCGTCAGCTGCTCAGCGTGTATTGACCGCCAGGGCTTTGCTGTCCAGCCCGGGAACCGCGTCTTGTACGCGATGTCGACACAGGCGCCCGAGGGGACAGGCAATTTCAAACTTCGCGTCGGATTTGTCAGTGCCGGGTCTCCAACCACGCTGTCCGAGGCGGAGTTCAATCCGAGTACTGGGTGGAAGCTCTTCCAGCTGCAGGCCTGAAGTTTGAACGAGTAAAAAAACGGGTTGTGTTAGCAAGTGTGATATACTATAGGGCAAACACCTCTGATGGCACCTTGTCTTTCCTTCCCGTCGGCCTCTCCCTTCCTAAAAAGTGCATAGCTCAAAAGAACAGTGTTGCTAGTGTACCTCTGCACAACTTCATTTTTTTTTCTGCCCAGAACTTGCCAAAAAATACGTCGCGAGCGGAAAAGCTCGTCTACAGCCATTCCGGCCCGTAGTTCGGTGAAAATGACTCAAAATTCTTCAGAGACATTGTGGAAGGTGTCTATATTATTCGTGTAAAGTCTGGTAGCACACAGTGAAGATCTGATGAGAATATCGTGTTCCGAACAAGGGTGATCAAAAATGGAGGTTTTGAGTGCTCTCGTTGCGCCACGAGAGCACGTCCCAGCGTCGCGCAAATTGGGGGGGAGGTGAGTACATGACGATACTTGAACATATTATTTTCAGAGAGGCAGAGCATGGGAACTCGGTGAGATATTTAATTCATTACCGCTGATTGCCTATGCGGGGTGGGATTGGACTAGGGGTACTTGACGCGTTGATTCTCTTGAGAGAGAGAAGAGCTAGAATGTGGCTTCCTTTACACGGTACACTCAGTTATGAAGGGAAGACCAGGATAGGTACGCATGAGTGCCCACAATGAATATTGCATCAGCAGTACCGTGCAACCATCCACACTGCTTACCGCAGGATTTGGCCACCCTGACGCCTTAATTTCTAAAGCATTTGCCGGGCATCTGGTGTAGTTGGTTATCACGCTCGCTTAGCATTTTCTCTCTGAAGTTGTCTGCGAGAGGTGAGCGGTTCAATTCCGCTGTTGTCCATCGTTTTTTTGCTGCACTTCTGGTGATCCATCTTCTTTCAACGACGCTCTATGAACAGTGCGGGCTCGTGTGCGGTCTTTCCAGTTGCGTCTCTGCCCTGGGTCTCCTCCACATGAGTGAAGAAAACTTCCTGATTACATACAAGTCGCAAAGCTTGAGATACCTTCACCTTCTACATCAAGTGCGTGCTTTTTGCGCTCAGCTACTTGAATGCTTCTAATCTACATACTGTCCCAGTAAGACAACATTACAGATCTACCTTTGTTTTACAGCTAATTGCTTTGGCCGCGACGTGAAAGTTCTTTCACACAAGATGCCAGATTTTGATCCGTGGCGTATTTCGACAATTATAAGCTGAGTTCTTGTTGTATGAGGTAGCGAGCGATAGGTTCTGGAGGTGCTCATTGAGCCGCAGGGCCCGGTCTACATTTCATCGCGAACGGACGTGATTTGCTCTTATTTAAGGATTCTGCCCACGCATTTTCGCTCCCATTTGCTCAGTTCTTCCTCGTTGAGTCTGGTCTTTTGAGAACGAGCCTCAAATGTCGACTGGAGGGTGCCAAAGCCCACCAGGACCATAGAATAATGAGTTACTTAAACGATGGACAGAGGGCCTAGTTCCACGGTCTACCTACTTTATTCCAGCCCAGACTTTCGTGAATGTTACCGTCATCTTCTAAAACAGCCGTAGAGCTCAATTCACGCGTATTCCTCCAGTCGTATCTTCAGTTGACGCGGCGCGTTATAACCAAGTCGCGTCGACTCGGAATCCCGACACGCCCACGTGACTTATCTAAATACCCGCGCCGCGTGGAGTTTCTTGGCAATATACGACCTGTGAGGGAAGCGGGGTCAGCTGCCAGTGCTCATTGCCATCTCTAAGCTTTACTGGCCGCATCGAAGGAAGCGGCATATCCCGTTTGACACGGACACAGCGCAGTGGCAGTTTCCCCCCTTCAAGTTCGGGTACTGTGGCAGTCTTTAGCTTCAGAATCTCACACAAGCATATGCCAGTGTCATGTAGGGAGGAACCACACTTGTCATATGTTCGTACACTCAGTCACATTGGAGCTGCATGCACTTCTCCACCGGTGTCGAGGTCCGAGTCCTGGAATGATACTCATTGTAGTTGGATTCAGGAGGTGCGTACAGTCGATATTCACCGAAGTGACTGGAAACTTTTTTACTTGTCGACGGCGAAAGAAAACACCTCGCAAAATGACGCGCAAGCAGCCAGATGGACTTCAAAACGCCTCAGTCGCACTAGCATTCTCGAAAGTTGACTGCACCATGAAAAGACCGACATTCCATTCAGATTTAGAGATATAGAAGCAACATGATACGTCCGACATAGAAAAAATAGGTATAAAGCACCTGCGAATCACTCTAAGTGTGGACCGAGGCGCCGGGTATGGGTACAAGTGTCGCTACGTGCTCATGGAAGAGAGAAACGGAGACGAGGAAAGAACTACTCGTATCCGCATATCGCTTGCGCGTCACACGAACAATGAAGGAGGAAGTGGGCGGATTCAAGGATAAGAGTGCTTCGAGGGTGTCCGATGCGAGGTATAGCCGTTGACGAGTTGACTGACGTTGCGACGATGAGGCTGCAAACAATGCCCTTGACCGTAACCACCATTGAATACTCTTGATGTTGTTGCTGCCGAAACCAATACTTGTCAAGCTAGATGCTAGAAGGTAGCCGTGTGGACAAGAGCCCACTCCTCGGTAGAAGGTATGTCTACCCCCGAGGCCGGTGAGCCGGTGAGCCGCCGTTGCTGCGTTGTCGGCAAACAAGTGTGAAAGATGTAGCCGCCCGCGGTCCACATGTCGCGCTAGTCCCTTCGAATTCTTGGTCGATGTTGGTGACGTCTTGTTCGTTGTCAGGGTACGGAATCCGGATGTGAGGGGCGATGGTGGTGGGTTAGTGATATGGGCAGCTTGTCGTTCGTCGGGAGCCTGAGGCTCAAGCCCGTTTCGTTTTGGCGTTCTTGCCCTTGTCCTCGATCTCGATGTGTAGTTTTTTGCCCCGACGGTAGCGTTTTGTCTCGCGGGATGATGGGCTGTGGTGCTGGGGTCGGCTCGGGCTGGGCCTGGGGCTCGGTTCGAGTGTCGGAGGTGTTTTGGCCGGGAGAGTCTGAGCGAATGGCAACTGTGTTTCGATGAGCTAGAATAGCAGGGACCATCGAGTAAACATACTTTCGCCGCAACGCGGACGCGACATTGAGATAAGCGGGAGGCGCTGAGCCGGACCTGGAGCTCTGGAGGATGAAGATGAGCAAAATAAAATAATGGACAATGCCCCATGCGTGCCGAACGAGGGATATGAGGTGCTTGCGCACTTGGCGGACGACCCGGTCGAGAGCACGGAGAGCGGACGTGACGGCTGGCGAGGTTGATAAGGTCCCAGGAAATAGCGGTGTACTAGTACGTCTCGCCAATAAAGACACGGACGAGATCCACAAGGCCGGCACGAATGGTGGAGGAGAGCGGTGCGATAAGGTCCAGGGGGAGGGAAGCATGTATCTCATCAATGAAAGGATGAGTGAGGCGGGAGACCCTCCGCTGGAGAAAAGAGGCGGCGCAAATAACGGAGGACGGTGCCGCGACGACAGTCACTGCGTTCCGTCGCCGGCTACACAGCCCCGTTGTCCAATCAGCTAAACGCCGCTGGCAAGCTGTAGCCAGGGCTGGGCAGCGTGATCCGGCCCGACGGGCTAGACACGGAGGAGCCGTTGCGCTGGCTACCGGGCTCGCCGGTCCTGGAAACCGCTCGCCGACGGGACCGGTCTAGACGTAATTTGGGCTAGCGGGTGGCGGAACGCCGTGAAACAACATCAGAAATCCCTTGCCGGCTCGAGCACTTGCAATTGCGCCTTCCACCAACCACGGTGCTCCACCTCCCATCACGGCGTCTTGCCCACAGTTTTGCGAGCTGTTGCTCGGTTCATCACAGCGAGGCCTATATGAGAGCCCAATCGCTGCAGTGGCCGCTACCGCCTCCAGCGCCTCTCTCTCTCCAACACCACCATGTCCGTCCCACACAGAATCGAGCCCTCCTATGACATCGTCTTTGCTGGCGGAGGAACTGCTGCGCTCATCATCGCGACCCGTCTTGCCACTGCCTTCCCTGATCTCAAAATCGCAGTCCTCGAAAGCGGGCCCGGCGTCAAAGGCAAATTTGAGCACACCACTCCGGGGCTGTACATTAGCCACTTGGCTCCAAGTTCGTACTACGTTCATTCGTTTTGGATCTAAGTAAGTAAACCCAACGTAGCATCCAAGACGGTGCAGTTCTACTTTTCCAAGCCGTCGCCGGGGATTGGCAATCGTGACCTCGTTGTCCCGTCTGGGATGTGTGTCGGTGGGGGGAGCTCAATCAACTTTATGCTCTACAACCGTTGCTCCGCGAGCGATTACGACGACTGGGAGACCAAGTATGGCAACAAAGGGTGGGGATCCAAAAACCTCATTCCGTTGCTGCAGAAGGTATTTTCACGCGTCATCCTTCTATCGCAGGTGTCCCTAACAGTGGCGGAGGCAGAAACATACGATATCGAGCCCACTAAAGTCAACCATGGGGACAGTGGCCCACTGCATGTCACCTATGGCGGCGACGTCTTCGATATCGGCAAGCAGTACATTGACATCGGGTCCAAGTTTGAGAAGGACCGGCCGCAGAGCGATGAGGGCAGTGGCTTCACCGCCGACTCAATCAACAAGTTCTTTGTGCGTGTTTCTTTCTTCTCAACTTCGCGAACGCGTGTTTATTCTCTGGAGCAAATGCCGAAATGGATCACCAAGGACGGTATTCGCTCGGATGTTGCGGTACGTCTCTGTTTTACTCTGCGGACTCAGCTCATTGTTCGATAGCACCACTACTACTACAACCTTGAGTTCAAAAACCTCGCTGTCTTTGACGGAGTCCGTGTCAACCGTGTCTTGGTCACGTACGCTCTTCCTCTTTCCCTCTCTCCAACGTGCTTAACCGTTCGGCAGCAACGGAACCGCAACTGGCGTCGAGTACCTCTTCGATGAACGCGTCCACGAAGGCGCATCACAGGACCTAAAAATCGTCTCTGCCAGCAAACTAGTCGTGGTCTCCGCTGGTGCCATGGGCTCTCCGCTCATCCTTGAGCGTTCCGGTCTCGGTCGCAAGGACATTTTGAACCAGTTCAACATCCCTGTCGTGCAGGAGCTGCCCGGTGTTGGCGAGAACTACCAAGGTGCGCGTTTCTTTCCCTCTCTCATATCTTCCAGATCCCGGATTGAGTATTCACCACCGATCATAGACCACCCCGCCGTATTCACGCCCTACTACGCCGACCCCGAAACCACCACCATGGACGCCATCTTCCGTGGTGACGCCGACTTTGTCGCCAAGGTCATCTCGCAGTATCAGAAGGACCGCACCGGCTGGCTTGCGACCAAGTGCGTGCTCCATTATATTTTACGTGGTACCGATGACGATCGCACTCATCAGTGGCGTCGATGCCGTCTGCAAGATGCGCCCACACCCCGACGAGGTGGCGCAGCTCGGCCCCGAGTTCAAGAAATACTGGGATGAAGTGCTCAAGGATTACCCGGACAAGCCGCTTTTCATCCTCATGGCTACCGGCGGGTACGTTACGCGGATATTCATGTTTCCTTGCCGATGATTTGTGGGATAGTTCGCCGGGCGACGCACCAGCTGAGCCAACGAAGAAGTTTATCTGCCACAACACCTTCCTTGTACGTGCTCCGTTCGTAATTAATCCCGGCTGAACGAGCGTAGAGCTACGCTGCCTCGCGCGGATACCTCCACATCAGCTCGACCGACCTGTACGCCAATCCCGACTTTGACTGCGGCTACTTCACCGAGTAAGCATCAGTTTGTCACATCCTCTAAAAACTTCCCATTTACTCCCTCCCTTTTACTTTGTCTTTGCAGCCCGGCAGACATCGCCGCCGTCCGCTGGGGCTACAAAAAGGCCGCGAAATCTTCCGCCGTCTCCCAATCT